ACTCATACATGGTACATTTATTCTTGGATCAAACTTGTTTAATATTCATATACCATCTAGAGTACTCACACATAGTACATTTATTTCAAATTCTGGCCTGTCTATCTACACTTGGTGTGTCTAATTGGTAGACATTCTGAAACCCATATAAGGGGAAAAAAAAAGTTGAGAATTTAAAGCAGAGAAGTATCATGTAACACACAGAAGTAAAGAGTGACAAATTATATAAATATTACCTTTTTCAATTAAGAAATCAAACTTATATCAACATATGATTTATAAACTATATTTTGATGCCAAGTTTGGAATGTCATTCTGTGGAAGTCGTGAAATGCATACTTGACCCCAACCATGCACACAGGGCAGTACTGAAATCATGATTAAATTACAAAGAATATCAATACTATATTTTACAAACAATGAGAGAATGACAGTCAAGTAATTTCTGTCATTAAAGCCTAGGTATACAAAAAAAATTGACAACAAAAACTTTAAAGAACAAGAAGGCCTACCAATTAAAGACAATTCTTGACTTATTAGCAGTTTTATATAAACTTTAACTACTAAGTAAGCAAATTTAACTTTGATGGGTGATTAAATCTAACTCGTATATTTTCTGCTACACCTATTAGGTACTTGTTTCAGAAAAGGCCAAGACCTTAAACATTTTGTTTTTAAAGTAATCAGTAGAAAGTTCATGACTTCGTTACTGTTACACTGAAGAGACAATCAATAACGAATATCATTTTTAAAAAATGCTTTGTTGTGCTATTCTAACAGTGAGTTAAGTAGTTTTTACATATCTTTATTATAGCTTCTGAACATTTCATTACCTTAGGGTTCAACTGAAAGCATCCAACTTTTATAGCATGTTTTCACTGCATGTTCATGGATGTATGTTAGCAATAGGGATAACAACAAAAATATTAATAATTAAAACTGAACATATGAAACAGGTAATGAAAATGAAACCTGCCAGTTGTGGTGAGAAATTCACTGCCCATGTCTAGGGCAACAGATTTGTACAGTAATGTTATCCTCTCTTGTACACAGCTAGCAGAAAGTCTTGCCTCGGCATCATGATCCCAACATTCTTCAATAGTGCTGCAGAGAGCAGCCATACCCTAGGGGAAAAAAGTTTTATCACTAGAGATCTTTAAAAAATCTTATATTCACTGTACTTTACTGTTTTCATTAATGTAATGCAGTAAATAAAATCTGCCACAACATATATGTTTTGTTCTCATTATGTAAAGTGGGTTCACCAAAACAGATACCCTAAAACTACCAAGGGTTACATAGCAGTAACGTGATGTAACAATATGAAATTCACAGTTACAACAATGTAGAATAAATCATGTTCAGCAATGAAAATAAAAACGTTTCAGTGTTTAAAACATAAAGATAATTTAGTAGCATCAATGCTACAGCATTACTGTGTGAGTAAAGGCCATTTCAAAACACCATATACATTACTGTGTGAGTAAAGGCCATTTCAAAACACCATATACATTACTGTGTGAGTAAAGGCCATTTCAAAACACCATATACATTACTGTGTGAGTAAGGGCCTTTTCAAAACACCATATACATTACTGTGTGAGTAAGGGCCATTTCAAAACACCATATACATTACTGTGTGAGTAAAAGCCATTTCAAAACACCATATACATTACTGTGTGAGTAAAGGCCATTTCAAAACACCATATACATTACTGTGCGAGTAAAAGCCATTTCAAAACACCATATACATTACTGTGTGAGTAAAGGCCATTTCAAAACACCATATACATTACTGTGTGAGTAAAGGCCTTTTCAAAACACCATATACATTACTGTGTGAGTAAGGGCCATTTCAAAACACCATATACATTACTGTGGGAGTAAAGGCCATTTCAAAACACCATATACATCACTGTGTGAGTAAAGGCCATTTCAAAACACCATATACATTACTGTGGGTATAAAGGCCATTTCAAAACACCATATACATTACTGTGTGAGTAAAGGCCATTTCGAAACACCATATACAAAAACAGTTGGTCTCCTTAAAGCAAATATATAAAAACAGGAATGATGTTCAATTGGTCTCCTAGTGGAAATTATAAAAACAGGATTGTTGTTCAATTGGTCTCCAAGTGGAAATTATAAAAACAGGATTGTTGTTCAATTGGTCTCCTAGTGGAAATTATAAAACAGGACTGATGTTCAATTGGTCTCCTTGTTGCAGTTATAAAAACAGGACTAATGTTCAATTGGTCTCCTAGTGGAAATTATAAAAACAAGATTGTTGTTCAATTGGTCTCCAAGTGGAAATTATAAAAACAGGAATGTTGTTCAAATGATCTCCTAGTGGAAATTATAAAAACAGAATTGTTGTTCAATTGGTCTCCAAGTGGAAATTATAAAAACAGGAATGTTGTTCAATTGGTCTCCTTGTGGAAATTATAAAAACAGAATTGTTGTTCAATTGGTCTCCAAGTGGAAATTATAAAAACAGGAATGTTGTTCAAT